ACTTGAAATATATCAAATCAAAAAAGCCTACATCTAATCATCCAGCTTTTGTAATCGTTGCGAACGACTGTGCTTTTGGAAAAAAAAAACACTTTGAAGATAGTGAATGAAATGGTGGCGATAATCTGACGAAACAGTAATTTAATTGACCGGTACCATTGATTAATATATTCTATCGAGTTAATATGGACGCCTGGACAAGGTGGCAGGATATAAGCTGAATTGAAATTATATTGAGATGAATAGATAGACAGTTTCAATACCTTGGCACTGCGATATATCAGTCGCACATAAAGATGAGAATTTATGAAGAATTGAAAAAGCCAGTGGGACTTTTCCAAAACGGAAGAAAAGGTTGAGGCATGAGTATACAGACGCATGCTAAAAATTTCCTGGAGAGATTGCTTGACGAATCTGTATGTTTTGAATAGAATAGGCAAAGAAATGGAGATTCCATTTACCATTAAAAGGAGAAAGCTGGAATTGAAGAAGAAGAAGAGGATAAAAAAAGTGATGTGGGAAATTGAAGGAAATATCTGGAACCGTATGCATGCAAAGGAGACTTGAGTGGTTAGGGTTTTTTACTCTGTTTTTCTTTTGCAGCATGTATTTTCGTGGTTGGGTCCAATTTAATGGGAAAAAGTAGTGACGTTATCGGTTTCCGAGCAAGATTTTTTTTATATTTCTTACAACTCGCTATTTCATTGTACTCTAGCTGTCTGTAATGAAAAAGGACAGAAATATTTTGTTTATGTAAAGACGTCGCATAAAAACCTTCAAAACAATTGAATAAACACAGGAACTTTCAAAAATATCAGGCCAATTTAAAATAGCTGTGGAAAACACAACACGAAAACAAATTTTAAGATTTTTGATTATTTAGAAATCAAAATTATAGTTATTTTAACCTAATAAACAAAACATAATAAATATTATAATGCAAAATATTCGTACTGAATGTCAAGCAGTCACTAACTCTATAGGATTGATGGAAGCAAATGCTTCGCGAGTGGCTTCTTCTAAAAATTTCTTGGAGAGATTGCTTGACGAATCTGTATGTTTTGAATAGAATACTCAAAGAAATGGAGATTCTATTTACCATAAAAAGAGAAAGCTGGAATTGAAGAAGGAGAACAAGATAAAAAGTGATGTAGAAAATTGAATAAAATGTCTCCAACCGTATGCCCGCAAGCCTGCTTTACGTAAAGATCTTTTAATCTCCCCTTACAAAAATCCAGAGAATCAGGTTTTATAAAATGAAAACAACATTGAGGTCTGAGAGGGAGAATCACATTTTCGCCCTAGATGGAATGACGTCAGAATGATATGTATTATTATGAATTTAGAATTGCATGTTGATACATTACTTTTGTTTAAGCCACAACAACTGCATACAAAAACCGTATGCGAATCTAAAATTTTTATTTGGAAAACTGTGACTGTAACTTTTAAAATAACCAGAAACAACTTTATATGATTGTTAATTCCTGTACCAATTGAATTTTTGTGTTATTGATAGAGAGATAGAATTCAAAGGGCACAAAAATCTTGCTTTCAACTTGTACTTACATGATATACTTAGAAGGGTGACACTATCATATAAACGAGGTAGTTATTGTTATTATAAATGACATTCCGCAGTGGTGTTTCATAGTTCAACATATAACTAAAGCCTCCCCATTAAGCTTAGGACCGATGTTCATCATCTGAATATAAGATTTTAGCGTTGTCTTACTTTCTTTGCACCACTCATCACTTTTTGAAAGGACGTTTTCAATTAAATACAATATACAACCAAGTTGCTAGTAATCTTAAAAGTCTAAATGTAAATTCTTTCATAGGAAATTATAAATGGTACCTTATGGTTAATACGTTATAACTACTTATGTTCTTATTCCTTATTATTGACCTTTTATCCATAATCCCTGCTTTCATGGTATGTTCTACCCTTTACTTTTGTTGTTTTATGAATGTAAAATAATGTATCTCAACGGTTTCAGTTTATCTACTGTTGCAGGTATTTTCGGTGCTGAACTTTGTGAATTTATTTTGATATTATGTAAATTGATTTTATTTTATTTTATGAAAATAATCCTTTATGTTACTATTATTCTACTTGTACATTTGCTATGACGTATATGAAAGAGGAATGTTTAATTCTCCGCAAGAAAATAAAATAAAATCTTCACTAAATCCGATTCTTATATTTGGCAACGTCAGACGTTATCTTCCGTTTTATGCCGAATTTTCCGACCTACACGGAAAGAAAAAAAAACTCAATCTTGTCGATCGATCGTCCAAAGGGCCCGTACGTACCGAGTAGGAATCCGAAAAATCCGAATATATATATATTTTTTTTAAATAAAATTAAGTCGGTCGCTGTTGGTTGTACGTAAATAAAGAAAAACGTAACCGCCGGGCCGAAAAATTGAAGAAAGTCGGAGAGAGCCTAGTTTTTTTTTATTTAATTCAAGTTTAAGGGAGGGAGAGGGCACGACAGAATATACCGGACTGTGCAGGAAGCAGAATTACGCCGGAAATAAAATTTATAACTTCGAGTTGCGGTCTCTTTATTTTTCCGCGTAATTCTTCCAATTTCCGTATTTGTCTCTCCTGAAAATGTCGCTGTAATTTTGATCGACTGCAAGTATTAGGAAAATTTATGTATAAGCTTCTGCCCATTTGGAAACAAGGCGTATTTCTACGGTCTTTGGAAAAGGAAAGCAACGTTTTTATAGAAAGGAAGATTTATATGCCGTCATGACATGCACCATGATTTATTCGCCATCAGGTAGAGAAAGTAGGGGATAAGGCAATGTGGCCTCTTTTTTTCAATTCGTCAATATATTGTAGGGAAAATGATTTTTATGAAATTTGATCCGCAACATTTTTCTTATTTTAAATCGAAAATTAGTATTTTTTGTTACATTACAGGTTATCGTTATTTGTTGACCTAATACGTCAATAAGCAACATATTACCAGATTTATCACTCTTCGATCCGTCAAAGAACATCAAATTCAGTGTTCGGCTATGACGAGAGATCAATAGAAGGTTTTTTTAAACAAAGTAATGGTTAGCATAATTAAAATTTAAAACAAATTCAATGAGCACTTTCCTCCAACCGCATTCGTATAATTAGTGGTATATTCCAGTGCCTTATTTTTACTGCTATATAGAATCCAAATACAAAAATATTTTTGTATGCTATTTTTTAAGTCAGTTGCTCCTGTAAATAGTTATAAAATCTTTTGCAGCAAAATCAGCGATTTCTATAAAATTAAAATATTCAAGTTATTCCAATAAAATTTTTCGAAATCTCTAAGGGTAAACTAATTTATAATATTTTTGAGAAAAAATGTAAATTTGGTAAGGTAAATGTTCAAAAAGTTTTTTTGAATTAACTATTTTTTATGCCAGGAATCAAAATTAGTTAAAAATTTATAGTAAAAAATGTTTCCATATAATGCGGACTGTAGTGGTGACACTGTATATACCAAATCACAAGTCAAGAATCTTTTGGATATAGTTCGGAAATTTATATATAAATGTTGCCCCCAATGAATGAAAACATTCAGAAGAATAGCGACAAGCTTGAAAAGCCCACTTTTGGTTTAAAAAAACCCCATTTGTTTTTTTTTGTATAGATCTATCGCTCATTTTTCTGAATTAAATTTCCACAGACCACTGTAATGCTCTTTACAAAATTTCTGGATTCTTCCTGCGTCGGTTTTTGGCTTCTACAGAGCTTGACTGAAACTGGCTCGCATTTTACTCTGTACCTGCTTATATAATGTTTGAGTGGTCGGATCTAAATGAGGAGCATAAACACCGTCTCGGATGACTGATTACAATATTGCTGACAGGTAAAGGCCTGAGTCGCGGTTAAGATTATTAGATTGCTTATCGATTTCTATAGACTCTGGCATTTTTGGAATTTTAGTTTTATCAAATAAAATTTTATATCCGGATTCGTGATTTGTCTTAGTCTCTTTCGTGTTCTTTTAGCCTACTTGATATTTGTCGTCCCGTCTCTCCAATGTATCCTTTGCCGCATATGTATCTGAAATAAAATTTTGTCTTTGACGGATCGAAGAGTAGTAAATCTGGTTTTGACATTATATTTCTTTAGAACTTTTGATATGTGGTCTGCGATATTTTGAATGTAAGGAAGGACAACAGTGGCAAGTGTAGGATTTCTTTCGGCCTCATTGCTATTGGAAGGTTGTGGTGGAGTGTATTTTGTGATGGAACGCTTAATATCTATCTTAAGAAGCCAATAGGATGAATGGCGAAACGTTAGCAAGTTCGACTCAACATAAACAGACGCAAGAGGAATCCAGAAGTTTTGTAAAGAAATAATCGTTCTTTCAATATTAAAGCGCCACATCAAAATAACATAAAATTTATTAAAGAATTGTTCGATAAATATTCTTTATTTCAATTGTCAAAATATATAGCGACAGTTGAAAATGGATCTTTTTTTTATTGTCAAAATAAAGCCGTAATCAGGATTCTACATTTTTATTCAAAGCGGTCGGAAGGTAGATACGTAATTAGATATATTCATTCATCTTCTCCAAATTTTTTGGAAAATAAATCTTCAAATTACTTCATGGTATATAGAGAGTTTTTTTTGTGTGATTCGACTAGATGTGACAACGCTGCAATGATAAAAATATTTTGATAATCGAGATAATAGTCTCCTAATGGCCAATTTTTGTGAGGATTATCTTTATCCATTCCTGTATAAGTGGGTATTAGGTATTTCATTTAACATTGAATGGAGAATCAATGCATGCGGCACGCCCTGTATACCCATTGTGAATTAATTTTCATTTTTGCATGTTTTTTTTTCTTTATAAATAAATACAACAAATAAAATTTAATAAATCACGTTTAAACACATCGGCCATATGTTTTTTTCACTTGTCCGTTTATCCACACGAGCCATACTTTGCTGACTTGTACTAAAAACAGCTCTCTTACTATTCCTTTCAGAAGAAAAAATGTCGATCGTCCGACCGAGCGCCGCTCGCAACTCCTGCGGAGTCTGCCTAATACCGTGAACATCATCAGATTGACGTACGATCCGATTCCCCAAAACAAGTGTTCGTGATTAATATACGTGCTAATGTAATGCGAAATACAATAAACGCGACCGCCTGTGCGGCCCTGATCAATGACGTCGACTGGATCGATCCGAACGCACTCCTGAGATTATCCGTTTTGCTTCTCATCAATGTCATGGTTATCGTGGGAAATTGCCTGGTAATTGCGGCCGTATGTTGTTCGTCAAAACTACAACTGGCTGTAACAAACATCTTCATCGCATCCCTGGCCGTGGCGGATTTAATGGTCGGAGTTGCAGTCTTGCCGTTTTCTAGCGTATGGGAAGTATACAAGGTAAGTTTTAGCGAACTTAATTAGTTTCCAACTTTAGTTTCGTATCTCGAGTCGTGAACGCAGCAAGGCAATTGAATATTCGCCGTAAAATTGATTGATTAACTTATACATTAGATTGTACAGGTTTCGGAAGTCGATGAGGTACGGTAGTTAGTTTAGATTAAGAGTTGATTTGAGTTTGAAATCGTGTTACTCGCTGATTGAAATTAAACTATACGTCGTCACTTATAAACTTACATTAGATTACATCAACACTTTAAATACGCACTATATACCGATTCACTCGAATTCGAACAGGCTGATTTGACATTTTTTAGTTCTCATCGTGGTATATTTTAAGATTTTCTTTATTACAAGTTCAGAAGACATCAAATTCTTGTTGGTGATTATTTCGAACCTTTTTAATAATTCATGCTAAGGTATAACGTATAAGAGTGTTTATAAAAAAAATGCGAAAAATGTTAATGAAAACGAAAACTATTCTTATTATTGTTTATAAAGGACTCTTGAAAATTACTTAACACTTTTCACCAATGCAGTAACAAAAATTGATATTCATGACTGGTGCAGAAACACAATTATAAAATCACTTTTCAAGCATAAGTTAATTTGTATTTATGTACGTCATAGAAAACGGGGAATTGAAACCATTGTTAAAAAAAAGTTAAAATAAAAGAAAAAATCCATCTGTATGATAGTTTTTAATTTTATACTATGATACTATAAAAATTTTAATTTATCACACGCCTATGATCATTGCCCCTTCCGAGAGGACTTTTTTCTATCAAACTTTACGTGCTTAATGCCGTCCCCTTTATTTGGACCTTCGTGGCAACAAGTCTAAATTTTACAGAAGCGTTAAACTAACCAAACCAACCACTAAAAAAATGTAAAGTTGAGGAAATCGAAAACAAATTTTCAGTCCATGTTATTTGGTCATAAAAAACAAAACGTAAAATATCTACATATCATAGTTTGTCATATTTATAAAATCATAGACCATCCATTAAAAACTCATGGATTCTTATAGTTGCAGTGCAAAAAGGTTCCTAAATTATTGAACACATCAATTTATATAATCGAAAAACAATGTAAGTTGTTAAGGTTTTTTTAGAAAAAAAGAAATTTTACTAGACCTTTAAGGTATATTTTTAACTTTGTTAAATAAACTAATTAACTAATTACCAAAATTCAACTATGTAATATACACAAAGTCTATATTATATTCATCAAAGAAAATCCTGATTCCGACTATGCAATTTATTGAAGAGATATTCTTTTAAATATTCACTTAGATCTTAATAACACTGTTATTAATATATTATGTAACAGGTTTAATAAACGAGTGACTTAAAAAGTTTACCGAACGTGTTGCATACTATACTTTTTCTACGACAGTTAGTTTTTGGGTACATCGTCGCAAAACAACACAAATACATTCACTGACATAACCGTCAGAATTGACAAACGTCATAAATCAAGGCTTGGGATATATCTCCGAAAACATCCGATTGCTCCTGCCATAACGTCCCGGAAATGTCCGAAGTGACTCGAATCCGTGGGACAACAAAGTATCGCTAGGTCAGTGTATAATTAGGTATTTTACAGAAGGAACGAGAAAAAGAGTATATTATGCAACAAGTGTGGTAAGTAAGTTTTTCTACTCCTGTTTGTAAAATACCTAATTACACACTGATCTAGCGTGCGGGAAGCGTCACTTCAACACTTGAGTTTCGTTTCCCACGTATCCGAGCCACTTCGGACATTTCCGGGATTTTACCGTTAGGCTTGGGAGTAATCAGATGTTGGAGATATTGAATTTGGACGTTTATCAATTCTGATGGCGGCCATGTCAGTGAATGTATTCGTGTTGTTTTGCGGAAACATACCCGAAAGCTAACGGTCGTAGAAAATAGTATGCAACACGTTCGGTAAACTTTTTAAGTCACTCGTTCTGGCTACATTAGAAAGTTAAAAAAATTCCCAATCCTCCATTAACGAAATTAACATCTGAATAACGTAGATGATGTCGTGTATTTTTGAGGTTATGTTAATAAATGCTGCCAATAAAAGTGATATTTAATAGTCTATCCACTAGCACCTCATAAAATAAAATGTCTGGTTCGATACTGCATGAGGTGATTTTTTTCAAAATATTGCTCCCACGCTCCTAGAACCTTGAATTCCTCATTGTTTTCTCGAGTTTTTTTTTTTAAATACCAAAATACAACAGTATCTATATATCCATAATTTTCAAATTTGATTTTTGTAGTAGTCAGATAGAATGTAAGTCATACGTTTTCAGAAGAGAATTAAAAATTTTACCATATCCAAGTCGTAAAATAAAATCGCGTTGAAAAAAAATGGTGTGAAAGTGGAAATTTCATTTCGCAGTGAGAACACCGATATTCACGTAATTGTAAAATTAAAAACGCCCTTAAATTTACCGCCCGAACGCCCAATGGATTTAACGATGATATCTTCTACGCAATTTGCATAGTTTACGTTTCAACGAGAACTGGCTTTTCCGGATCTGTTGTATTCGTAATTATCGTTAAAGCAAAGGATTTGAATATCGCCACTTCCTAATGAGTGAGAAAATCGATAAAAGCATTACGGGATTTAATAGAACGGCTTTGTTGGCGAACAATAGATTTTGCATTTACAAAGGAAATCGACATTGCTGCTTTTTTGTCGGGCCAGTTATTCCTCCATATATTTCTTCTCAAACTTTCCGACGTTATATTTTGAATTTTGAAAGTGCTTTTCCAAAATTGATAGAAATAATGATAATTATGATATTTGTTTCGCAACAAAATAATACAGAAAGTATTGCAAAATTTTCTTAGTCTCATGGTCGCCAATCAGGAATTAGAAACAATTACAAAAAATTCAAGTTAAGTCACCGAAATAAGTTTAAATAGATGTCTGACCCTTAACAACCAATAAATGAAATTTTCGTCAGTTAGAAATAAGAATAATATACATAAAAATATAAAAGAAAAAAGAAAACAGACAACAATTTCTATAGAGACATTGAAATAAATTTTGACTTAAATATTTTAATTTTTGGTTAATGTTAATAAAAACACATTTCGAAGCACTTAAAATATTTAATTTTTTTATAAATTCATCTATTGGGATATAGATAATCACTTTTAATTTGCTGCCAATAAAATCGCTCTGTTTGTTACAGAAATGTTCTTTGGCCATACATTTTTCTTATGTCCTCTATATGCTTTAATCAGAACCCAACGATACACCCTTCAAATCCAATTTATTTAACTTAACACCCAAAAAAGCCAAGGAAATAGCCGCGACTGCTGGCTAAATTCTTTTTAACTTAGAATCTTTTTGCAGAATGAAGGAGTTCGCAATTTCAATTGTCAATTGTTTATCTCGGGACTTGTCTCAAAAACCTTAATTAATTAATCAACATATTGCAAACATTTAATTTAGTTTAATTTTGTATATAGAGGGTGTTTAATTTTTCGTGGGCGAATATTAACTTTCTTATTTTGAATGGAACACCTTGTATAATTGTAGACATATTTTGTGCCTATACCTAATTTTATATGCGAAAAGTGAAGGTTGCAAGATGTAAAATATCTGCCAATTTCTTCATTCGGAAGCATTTATTATTTCGGTTGAGTAAGTTTTGTTAGACAAAGGACTCGAATAACATATTAATACAGGGTACGTGAAAAAAAAAGATTAAAAATGAAATTCAAAAACTGTCAAAAAACTTTTTTTTAATGAAAACTACTTATTTTTATAAACATGTCATATTTAGCATTAAAAATTAAGGCATTTTTATATAAGGTTGTATATGCTAAATATTTTTACGTTTTGAAATATTTCCTTTTTTAATATTTGTCAATCACTAATAATATGATGTTGCCCTATAAGTTCAGTTAGTGTAAGGTGGGTATGACAGTGTTTGAGGCACAACAAGTGCTAAAGTGCTGCCACTATGATTTACCATTTCATAGTTGACAATAATCTTGCCGCGCTTACGAGGATCCAAAGATTATGGACGCCAAGTGTAATTACCATTGTCCATAATCCATTCTCTATAGTGTGCACTTAAATAGGTGAAATTTTCTTGACTTCTGCGATAAGGACCGCCATCCGGCTGCCAAATTAAATTTCGTCGTTCCCTTTCAGGCACTTAATTTTCAACCAAGGAATGGATAATATTTAAAAGCTCTAGGTAGCGTTGGGAGTTTATATTCTGATCAAAAAATACTGGACCTGTTATTCTGAACCTCCCAATGCGCACTTTGACGGAAGTTCTACCCGATGTTGTAACTTCCATATGTTTTTTTATGATTCTTGTTACTCCAGTAATGGGTAATTTTAGTTTAGGTTGTAAATATGGGCCCATCTATTCAAATAATATTAGCAAATGTTGAAACTGTGAAAAAGCTAGCCTGATCTTGTAATACCGTTGCTCTAATTGCTGAACTTTTGACATCAAGATCTAAAGACGCATTTTGGGAGTCTCTGAACAATGCAACAAAATATTAACTTGCCCTTCATCATTAAAAATATGATCACGCCTATTTTTTTCTCTTTCTTCAAGGTTCCATTCTAAAGTGTTGGTAAATCCTGTTGAAGATCTTTTTTCTAGGCGCCTCCTTAATGGAAATTTTGTTATATAATCTCCAAGTTTAGATTGTTAGATGTGTAACTTTCTAACATATCAATCTTTTCCTCATTGGTAAACATGATACGCAAGCAAGCGAATAAATTAAATTTATAAACGCTAAATAAATAAATTAATAATGTGTCAAAAAATATTTGAATTATGACAGTAATCAACAACAAAACATACGTCAAAGGAGGCAGCGTCCTAGCACTTGTCGCCGTCATAGCCACCTTACACTAATTAAACTTATATGTCACCAGCATATTATTTGTCATAGACAAATATTTAAAAGGAAAATTCCAAAAAGTGAAAATATTAGGCCTATTACAACCTTACATAAATATGCCTT